GTGACATGGCTCAGAATCGATCACAATGGCGTTGGTGTATACACTCTTTATCTTCCTTTAAACCGTGAGATTAAAATCGCTTTATACGTTTCTTTCTACGAAGTAATTCTTTCTTCCTGTACTGTACTCCTTATACACAATCTTTCTTTTATATATTATTACCATTGAATTGACTACTTCTATGAATTTGTTGTTCACTTTGTTGTGCTAATGAGGTGTGGCAACTTGGACCGATGCACATACATGCCTGGTTCTACGTTGTAGCTGACTGACTGACTCCTAAATAGTGTTATATACTTCTTATGTCGATATTAGGTGCACACACCACAATTCAGATGAATCCACATGAAGAATTTCACAAAGGACAAGAATAAGTTGTGTATAAATTCTATGTACTACGTGATTTGCGAACCCAGTTTGTGCATATTGCCTTTGCAAGTCTAGATTAGTAAATGAAACTACTATTAATCCTCGATACATTTCTGGAATCATTATTATTTGAAATTTTCGAAAAGACAACTTCCAAAGCACCCGTGTAAGATGTCATTAAAATTGTGTTTAATCTTCAACTTTAACGCCATTATATTTCGTCAGATGGAAATCGTTATAGGCTTGTTACTAAACTGGGGTCTATTTTTTTTGTTTAGAACTTTTAAAATTATTTAATCGTTTAAATTTATACTCATAGGACTATAATTTGACAACTTATTTCTGTTCAGCATCCACATAACTGAAATATCACCTGGAGAATCTAGTCTTGTAAACAGTTTTATAAACTATCTAGCTTTTCCATGTCAGTTGAATAATTCTGAAAGTGCAACACTTTTAAAGTGGCCGTTTAACTTTCAAAGTAATTAGTCATTAACACATTACAAAGTAAAATGAAGCTTGACTAAGCCTTATTTTCTCCCGTTTCATCTGTAAGATTTTCAATAGTAAGCGAATGTTTAAGCAGTATGAAATTCGTTTGTTTACTTCCCAAAACTACATTTTTTAAAACTAGTGTTTTGGCTGTATTTTTTTATTGGAAAAAAATGACTTATGATATGCTTAAAACACCCGTATATTCCGTATTACTTGTTCGAAAGTTCTGTCTATTAATTTCCTTATTGATACTTTCTCTACAAGGTATTCTTCTGGGTGTGTAACAATGAAGAGGATATGGAGAAAGCTTTTGAACTTGGAGCTTCAGGAGTAATGACAGACTATCCCAGAAAACTAACCGAATTCCTGAAGAAGCATCCTGAGTATCCAAAAGTTTTTTAATTCATTTAACATCCTCGCTTTAATAAAACATTGGACTTTATTTCTGTTCATATCCTATGTTTTATGAATTTCTGATTTGAATTAAACGTGTTTATTTTGTAAATGACGTTGAATTTATATGAACATTAGTCATTTTCATTATTTTACGATCGGAACACTTCACTTCGTAAATAATAACCACGAGTTTCACAGGCCTAAGAATACTTCATGTTGTCGATGCATAAACCATGACTTTTGTTTTTAATGGTATTGAAGGTCAACAACACTACACTTCGACATTCTCGATGTAAATTTTGCAGGTAGAAACTCAGAAGTAAATCTTAATGTTTGCTAGTTAATTTAGATAGTAGGTTAAAAATGTCTTACAGAAGGACGGTGTTACATTATCTTAAAAGCTACTGAATCTTTAATTTATCTGGTTTGTCTTATTTTCTTCACGAATTACTAGTTGTGGATTTACGCTACAGCTAGAAAAGATAGACAAGACTACCATTTAGCTGTTGTCTTTGATTCTACTTCCTGTTCAGTCATTGCTGACCACCTGTGTACTACATAGCAGTGATTGATTATATCGTTCTTAGTAGGCTATTACTACAGCCAGGAAACGGATATTTGTTTAGGGAGTTATTTTTATTTACTCTGGTTTCAGTTTTAGGTACATTGTGTTGTGGATGACAGGACTGAATATGTTTATTAAGTCAGTCCAAAGTCTTATTACAGTCAGTTAGGGGGCAACTATGAAAAGCTTCGATAGTAGCTTTGTTTTGGTGGTTATTTCCATAACGTCTGTACATTTCTTTATTTGTGGCACACATTCTATTGCATGGTTGCACTTTCTACCTGACTTAGAGTGTATTAATTTTGAAGTAAACTATTTAATATATTTGGATTAAGGATGCTACAGATATTCGGAGTTTGACAACACTTTAACAAGTAAAACCTAATATAAATCGTACCCAAGTGAAATCAAAAGACAACAGCGGGGAGGTTTGAAGGTATATATGACAGGCTATCAATATATCGAGGATCGGCTAATCTAATCTGGCTAGCGAATGCAGGGGAAGTTGAGCACGGCGTTCCTTCTCTTGACCTGGTACGAATGGATAACCAAGCGCCTTCAGGTTGGTGAGTTCATTAAAACTAATATGGTCAGCATCCAATGTCGAAAACTTACAGTTGTTTATTTTGGGGATTTATTTACCGCTACTCCCCTCCTTGTGGGGTAGTGATGACCCTAAGACGTGGCCAGCCAGGAGTTTAGACCCAACGAGTTTGTTGTTGGTAAACACTCTTCTGGTAGCTTGCTAGGTTTAGCAGCGTCTAGTTGTCTTTCCTGCATCTCCTTACGATGCTCCACTGCCTTGTGGATGAGACCTTCAGTTCGAAGGCTCGAGGAGTTGCCACCATGAAAACCACCTGCTTCGGTTTGGGCAACCGGGCAGTATCACAGCCCTCACACATATCGAATGAGGTTTGTGTGGCACTTATGTATTTGGTGCCTCATTGTACCAATATCTATGTGTTAATATAAATAAATAGTAGTGCAGTCAAACACCTGAAAATTTCAGATTCGGACTGGCGTCCGTGTTCTGTAGTGATGGTTGAAGGAGAACCGAAGTTTGCTACCCATCGTTCGACGAATGCGCGAGCCACGGCTTCAGCAGTAACGCCCTTGATAGGTACTGCTTCTGGCCATTGAGTGAAACGGTCTACGCAGGTTAAAAAGATAATAGTATCCATTTGAAGCTAGTAAAGGTCCTACCATATCAAGAAGAACACGGTCAAAACAAGCGTCAGGAGTTTTGATGGAGCCTAAGGGACATTTGTTATGTCTAATAATCTTAGATTTCTGGCAGCTTACACAGGAGGGCGCCCATTCCCTCACGCTCCTAATTCATACCAGGCCATCAAAATCGTTCTGCCATGAGCTTGATTGTTGCACGAACACCTTGATCAGAAAGTTTGTGCAACGTATTCAAGACGTTGTGCCGGTAATATTTCGGCATGACTAGGCGATCCCTACATATTGATGTGTCACAAAGTAAGGTCTCCTTACCTGTTCCCATCTGTTTAATACGCAGTCTAAGGGTTGTTGAGGATAACACGCGCTGAAGATCAGTGTCTTCTTTCTGAATTTGGGCGACAAATGTGTAATCCGCGTTAGGTGCTGACCTCGAAGTGTGACTTCGGATTAAGCTGGTTCGTCACGCCATTCCCGTCTAACTCGAGTAGCCCCCAAGCATTCGACAGATCATCCACGTTGGTGATCTACAAGTTCCCCAATTTGAATACGTGCTCAATCCTGTGTCCCACATGCACATTTTACAAGTGACGACGTCAATATAATGTTGACGAAATGTCCAGTATATAGTTCAGAAATGATTAGTATGTATAAAGCATGCTAAATGCCATCAAAATAATACGCTCTCTGTGAATAATAATAACAAAATGTTAGAAAGAATATGGAATACCATGTGGCTGAAATAACAGAAATCAGTTAAACTTCTAGTGCAAAAGGATTATACGTTATATCTTCTACTATTTATCCTGTACGTCCATGGATGACGGAGACTGTATAAAACATTGGCACTCCTGAGTTCAGGCGATATCAGTCTGATTAGTGGGCCTGATTATATCAATCTTCAAGTTTGTTTGAACAAATGAATTAGATAGTTCCCAAGTTGATATTCCGAGATTAAGTCTGAAAAGTATGTGCTAATCTCTTAAAGAATGCTGGTCGGCGATCTATGCTCCATTTGGAGTAACAGGCATTACTAAGTAATCTATATCATATATTGCACTAATCACCAGCATATCATCAATGGAACACCATTTACAAAGTTCCAGGGATAGGAAGATCTACGAGTAAATACTGAATTCCAAAGCAACTGGTGCTGCAGATTTTCACGTATTTTGGAAACTTCATGAAAATTTCATAGGTTTTGTTTAATATGCGGTTTAGATCTTTCAATCCACACATGTGTAACGCTTTTTCGACCAGGGATGCCACAGTCAGTCAAACCAGAATTGAGGAATAAAGTGTTCCGAAAGTATGTCTGGAAAAGGGTCGACACTCCGAGACCTTTCTAGTTTGGTGAGAAGCACGGCGTAACCAATGGCTATATGAAGCAGATAGTTGACTAAAAAAATTCATCTAGAATGTACTCAGTGAAACTGGGGAGGTCAACATCAGTACCAAATACATACCGAAGCATGTATTTCACAGATCTATTTACCGCTACAGATTGCTTAATTTATGATTACTAAGGGAGTGATAGGTCCTCTCAAACTACTTTACAACGCATTAGCTTCAATCCTGTATGTCGTCGTAGAAAGCGAAGTGACCGTTTATTGGTTCTCAGTAACTTTGGTAATTATTTCAATGTTATATCCTTGCTTATTTTTGCATTAAAAACTTCCAAAGAAATCGTAGATTGTTTACAATTAGGCGATCCAATAAACCCAGGGTGGAATTCCATCTTTCTTAGATAGTGAAACGCTCTAACCTAATTATCAGTATCGTCCGCTCTATTGGGCACCCTCAAGGAGAGACGGATTGTCACTGGAAGCTGAGCTCCAATGCAAGCCGCACTTCCTACAAACTTTATTTCTGAAGACTAAATAAAGAAAACACAACAATTGATTTCGAAAACGATAATCACAAGTTTTTAACTCTATAAGTTACCAAATAAGTCCTTTCTCGTATTTTTATTAGAATTTTTTGCTTTCCGTACACTTGTTTTGCTACACACAATGAACACGTTTGAGTAGTACGTTACCATGTGGGTTTGCATAATTGCAATGATTTTTGTTTCTAAAAATATACAGGAACACTACCAGCAATGCCCACAGTCACAGTCCTATCAAAGACGTTTATCTTGGAACGGAATGCGGCAAGATAGCTGAAGTTAATGAGTCAATCATTGGAAAGCGAATAGTACATGAAAAAAACTTTGGGACTATCTGTTATGTCGGTGAGTTGCCGAGATCGAATGGGTCTTGGCTTGGAGTTGATTGGGATGACCAGTCGCGTGGCAGACATGATGGGACTTACGATGGTGTCCGGTATTTTCAGGCTAAATGTCCCACTTCCGGTTCATTTGTGAGGTGAGTAATAATGTTTATTGATAAAAAGAAAGCTGTTGCTTTAAGCAGCAAAAATCCATAACTTCAAAGCGGTCTGTCATAAAAGTGCTAAAATTAAGGCACAGTCCAAACGTGACTAATAAAGAATGTTTAGTCCGAGTGGGATCAGAAGTTTATGTTGGGTACTTCGGTTGTGACACTATACTATCCGATATGTTAATGATCCACGAACTGGTTCTAGTCTCCTTCTGGTTCGGTTTATTGTTTAGTGTGTTATCATTCACGATACATATATGCACTCCCAAAGGGTCTAGGTATGTAAGTGCACAGAATATTGGAGTTGGCTTTAAATGTCTAACTTTTGTTTCGCCGACCTATAATTTCTACCTATGAAATCTGCTGAAATCACGAATGCAAAACGTGGCCATTAAGAGTAGTAGATACTCGTAAACTACTAGTATTTGACCACAGATGTCTTAGAAATATTGCTTGCATCTGCCGAAATCACTGGGTAAGTAGTAGTGAGGTTAGACGCAGGGTATTAGGGAATGATGGTAAAGCAGTCGGTGAGTTTGTAAATCTTCATCGTCTGGAATGGTTAGGTTACGTGTTACGTATGCCTAAACATCGATTACCACGACGCGCAATGCTGACTAGTGTTGAAAACAGTTGGAAGAAAGTTGAGGGCGGCCAAATCGAAACGTGGCACCGGTCCATAAAGTCACTAAACTCTAGTCTGAGTTATGATGGCAGATGCAGACTACTTGGTTGGGGTCCGCGTGACTATCGTAACCAATGGTTGGAGACTGTGAGTGACATGGCTCAGAATCGATCACAATGGCGTTGGTGTATATACTCTTTATCTTCCTTTAAACCGTGAGATTAAAATCGCTTTATACGTTTCTTTCTACGAAGTAATTCTTTCTTCTTTATTGTATTTGTTTATTTATTTATTTTAACACAGATATTGGTACAAGAAGGCACCAAATACGTATGTGCCACACGAATCTCACTCGATATGTGTGAGGGCTGTGATACTGCCCGGGTGCCCAGACAGAAGCAGGTGGCTTTCTTAGGGGGCTGCACCCCGAGCCTTTGACCTAAATGTCTAACCCACAAGGCAGTGGAGCATCGTGAGGAGATTCAGTCCCATGGTAGCCGGTGACCAACAATTGGTTCATACTCCATTTGTTCCCGCAGGATAGTGGAGCCCATGTGCACCATTGATATGGAATCCGGTTAAAGCGCCGGACATTCGCTTTTAGTCCTCTCATTTTCGTAAACAACACCCCGGCTACGAGAATGCAATGAATAGGACTTCCCTGGCAGAGGTTGTATACGCGTGGCCGTGTGAGAGTATTTCGAGAGGGAAGGCGAACCCACCCCACTCTCGGCCATACCAGGGCATTTGGGGGCTTTGCTGTATTCCTTATACACAATCTTTTATATATTATTGCCATTAAATTAACTACTACTATGAATTTGTTTTTCACCTTGTTGTGCTAGTGACGTATGGCAACTAGGACCGATGCACATACATGCCTGGTCCTGCGTTGTAGCTGACTTTGCCTCTTCCGAAAGTATATTCCTGTAAATCGTGTTTATTGAAGTGGTCATAAAGAATTCTCGATATATTGTACCGGTTGTCCATGATCGATATTACTTTTTAAGAAGATTAGTACAATCAAACTAAACTTTATAATGGATATGGTTCTAAAAATATCACTTTCGTCATATGTTTTTCAGCTGCCGAACTACCAGAAGATCCACCTGCAGACTTGGAATACGCAGTTTATACTGTTCTGTCTGATGAAAGCACTGACAAAATGCAGAGTCTCCCAAACACCTTAACCAACAATGTATTCATGTTTGGGTTGTGATTCTCCACCTTCAAATGCAAAATGTTGCTTTAGGATTGGCGTACATCAGCGACTGAATTTACGGTAGGGACTGACGTAGTTGAACGCACCAGTTGCTTTACCTATCTTGGGTATTTCATCACTCCTGATAGCCTGATGGCTGACAACATCTTGGCACAGATTTAGAAAGTTCGACTGACTTTTACCAACTCTCGTCGCTTTTGGTGCAGGCGAAATATCCGCCTGTCAACCAAAGAACGAGTTTACTGTGCAACAGTTTGCTCCATTCTACATTATGTATGTGAAACGTAGTGATTAAAAATAGGGGATATTCTCAAGTTGCTATTGTTCCATGATAGGTATATTCCGAGCACTGCCCGTGTATTTTGAGACCACAGGGTAAGCCATGCCTGGGTTGGGAATGGGGTACTAGGTAGGTACGGTAAATCGATTGGTGAGGTATTAACGTTTCATCAACTGAGCTGGTTGAGACATGTGTTATGTATCCCCAACCACCGTCTGCCTTGACTGGCGATGTTGTGTGGTGTAGGAGTAGACTGGAAGAGAGCTAGGGGCGACCAAACCAAAACATGGCATCAGTTCATGGAGTCGTTGACAATTGAACTGAGCCATATTAATAGGTGTAGAATACCTGGGTGAGGTTTGTGTGAGTATCTGAACGAGTTGTTAGAGTTTTTGAATGACATGGCTCAAAATAGTTTGCAATGGCACAGACCTTCATTAGCCGTTTTCCTCCAATTTCTAGCTTCTGAATTCCTTATAATCTTTTTGATTTCACTAATTTTTTTGCATCGTAGGTTTGATGCCTAACCTTTCCCATTATCAAAACCGAAGTAACTTCTGAATTTCAGTCATACACCTTACTAATTAAATATTGACTACCTGTACAATTGAATAATATCCGCATTATATAATCGATTTCGTGCTATTAATTCCTCCCAAGTTTTTTTATAGTTTACTTTTTGATCTTTAATCTAGGTATTTGAGTATTTGTATAGTGAACTAGGGATATAATCATACTTTCGGTTTGAACAGTTGAAGAATATAGTAATCCCTGATACGGTAAAGATAAATAACATTTCGCTTCTTTATAAATCATAAAGATGACTTCAGTTCATGTCTATTTTTTGTTATTTTCCGTACGCAGTCATGTTATAACTTATTTCGTTCTACTTCATGTCTTAATTTCAACTCGATAAACTCCGTTTATCCTATCCAATCATGCTTTTAGGCCTTCAAAGGTGTCATTGGGTACCAGTCTAGAGGAAGCTCTCGTATATAGATATGCCGTCTGCACAACTTGTCAACTGGAAATCCAGACTTCTTTGCGATCACGGGAAAAGCCCACAGGTAGTTCTCATAATATCCTCGTTCATGAATGCACCCAACTTGGTCGTCTAAACAGTTACCTTGGTAGTACTGCGGAGGAAGCTGAATACTTTGGTACTCACGGATACCCAAAAGACACATTACGAGTCGAACTTTACACTAATCCTGGGACTTACCATCAATCGACTTCTCATGACGAATTATGTGGAGCAGATGCAGCCAAAAGTTGTCTCAGCCGATTAAATAGTGTTAGTTTGTCTTCTGTGCCCGTATATCGTGCACTATATGGAAAAAGTGACTTTTTCCCTGATCGACAACCTGAATACTCACCACTTTGGCCATCATCTGGAGGCTGTCTCGACCAGTTTTTATCCAGTTTATGCGATCTGGAAATGAGCAATTGTCTGTTGTCAAAGTGGACAGAAATTGCTGAGGTGTGTTTTGATTTTCATTAACACTTTGTTCATTCTTTCCTTCACAAAAGTTAACTGTGTTTATTTATCTTATTAGATTTGTATTCAAATTCCGTGGTTAAAATCCTTGAATGTCAGTAACAACCGCATTCGTTTACCTGTTTCTCCAAAAGAAGCGCATGATAAACAAAAAGAAAATGAATGTCTGGAATCTAGACTTTTATATGACATATATTCGGACCCTGTCCTAAGTGAACGGTTGTGTTCGAACGCTTTTCCCCAGTTGTCGCAACTTACTTTAGTCAAATGCTCACTCCTTAATTGGAAAAGTATTAGGAGAATATTATGTTGGATGCCATCCTTACAGTCGTTATCTCTAGCTTACAATAATGTAAGTAAATGTTTTCCTTGTGCTTTACTTATTCAAGTAATTAATTGTAATATATATTGTTCATTTAGCCTCAAGTATTAAATCCCTTCAACAGTGTTAATGTGTATTTAGACAGACTATTCAACTTAACAAATTTTGTCTCTGCAGTCTGTTTTAAAGATAGCTTCTAGAGTGACTTAAGGGTTTTAATTTCTAATTTAATCAAATCCTAACGACTTTTTGTTACGTCAGTCGTCATTCAACTTTCAGAAATTCCTAAGATTCGGCTTCACCTAATATTTTATTTTTGTGTAGTTACACTGATTTCTATATTGTTGACAAAGCCTTACGATTTCATGTTAACTTATTTATCAGTGTATTTTCGAAAGTTCATCTGCTTATGTAATTTCAACCACTGACCTGACCGTCAACATAAGATTTTGCAACAAAGAAAATCATTCTATAATATGCCTCGAATAGTAAAAGTATCAATAATGCGCCACATAAATTCCAGTAAAATGGTAATATTTCAATTCCGAGTTCTGTATTTCGATAAGGACCGTTACTATCTCCCAGTCTAATACATGTGCAAATTATGGTAGAGAAATCCCTATATTACTAGAAAACTTTGAACAACTTTGATGTTTTGATGTAAATTTAAGTCTTAAGAAGCAGTTGTAAACTAATAACTTGCAAATGATCATAAAAAGTAATTGTCAGATTTGTTTTTATATTCCCTGCATCTACATCTAGGTAACGTGCTAAAATAACCACCCATAAACCGTTTACTTTAATGTACAGTATGAAAACAGGTATTAAGCTTCATGGACTTTAAAATAAAGTTGGTATTGAGCATTTCGTTACCCTATAAGCGTGGTCACAAACCCTGATAAAAAAGTCTTTGAGATCCGCCACTTTGTTGCTCTAAAGTTTTGTGTTTCTTTAAACTAAACAACATCCAGTCATCGTGTGTTTATGAAATGTTTGATTACATTTTAGTTGGGCAATCCTCCAATTGACTGGGAAGAAAATGCTATTGAAGTTTTCCAAAAGTTGACTGAATTAGACTTAACTCACATAAATCTAACGTCCGCTCATCAGTTATTCGCCCTTATTGGAGCCTCCAAATGTCTGAACAGCCTGTTGTTAAATTACAACGAGATAGCAGACATTCCAAATCTAAATGATCATTCTAAGCACATCTGCCAAATACATGTACACGATAAAGATAGTTCACATCTGTTTCGAAACCTTAACACTCTTGGGTTAAAGAACAACTTATTCACAAATTGGAATTTCGTTAATCAATTACTGCATTTGTCCAAATTGGATCATTTGATGGTATCAGGATGCCCAGTTTTCGAAAACTCTGTCAGGTAAGCTAATCTAGTCAAGTCTTTTCTACTAGAATTATAAAACTATCTGGTTTGTTTTTACTTACATACTTAACATTTTAGCATTGAACAAAAAACTACTGTGGTTAGACTTAAGCTGCATTATTTTTTCTCATATATTCAAACAATCAGGTTAGGATTGAAAACTTTACCCATAAATAGTTAAAAATATACTACCAGAACTGTAGTTAATTTTACGGTTTATCGCCCAGTTACGTTTCGACTACAATTTTTAATGGATGATCAGGTAGTGAACGAGTTGTCCATATTTTTATGAAACTTCAGCATACAGTTACCGTCTAATATGGAAGAATTGAATTTATTTCCATACGTTTAACAGTTCTAAATCCTGTCGTTCATAAATTCCATAAACACTAGTTTTAATTGTTATTTGACAAAGTATATACGCATTAATAAATAATGATACACCTTTTCCAAAACAACTTAATGGTTATTACAACTTGTTCACCATTAAGTTGTTTACAGCACTTCATTGTAAAATAAATATTCCTTTACATATTTCACTATTTAAAATCGCTTAATGATCTTCATAGAAATTATAATGTGAAATCCTGTTCTATTTAAAAAGCTGCCATATTTGGAGTTTGCCTGAATCCGTAATCATTTAAGTCTCAAGTTACTCCGTAAAATAAAAACTTAATAGCTTCTAGTTGTATCAAATATCCATATTGCTCAATCGCTTAGTAACTAGTATTTACAAAATACTTGGTTCAGTGAGGTGTAAAAAAGTCCGTCACACAAATTGGTCCGATAATTTCTCTTAAAAGTAAGTGAAGAATGGAAGCATAAGAAGAAGCGAATCCAATTAAAAACAAACCAAAATAGATCTCATCCTCGCTAATAAATATTTTTCTGTTTTTCGAAAAACAGAGGAGATAACTATAACTGGATCACCATCGTCTTCTATATTGACCTGTTTGGAAGTGGCTTTTGTTACTAAGAATCACATGATATTTCTTACTTCACCTAGGCGCTCGTCACCAACAGATTATTACTTCTAAGAATTGCTTACCCATTGTTGTGGGCAAACGTAAGCGATTTCTCTGAGATGAGTTTAATCGTGGTTTAAAATACTGATTTCTTTGAAATTAAAGTTCACAAGCATAGAGCTGAATTGGTAGTGTAGTGAACGAAGACATGTTGGGGATGACCAATTTATTGTTTAATGGAAAATTGCAGTGTCTTGGTAAATTATGGAAACCATACATTATATACATTATTTGCACATCATTCACTTTTTCTTTATATGCTTTATGATCCTTTCAACTCTGTTGTTACTACAATTGCTCTTTGTTGATATTCCTGTTCGCTTCAACTCAACCTTCTGTTGATAAGCATTCCACTTCTGTTTGATGTTACATACTACTTATACCAGTCAACATATTGTCCATTCGGGCCTTAGTGGCCAGCTTAACGTTATAACTTCTCCAATGGTAATTTAGATCGCTCCACGGTTGCTTTCGTTACGTGTGGATGAATCTGGTTTGTCATACCAGCACTTATGCAACTATTAGTTAGAGTGCACTCGACCATTCCTTACGCCTCGCGAACAGGAGTGAATCCAAGCCCAGCTTCCTTCTAATCCTGTGGAAGAACTGTACACTTCGATTATCCAAGTGCATCTATTATGGATTAGTGGTCGTCAAGTGATTGAATGTAATTCAGGTACCGTGCATCCAATCGCACAACAAGATGGTAACATCCGCACACTCAATGTCAAAAATTACTCTTCTGGGTAACGGATTGACACCACCACACCTTAATCTCCTCAATTTTTTCCTGAATTTCATTAATGGTGAGATTGGATAATCCCGACCAGCTCCATCGCTGATTTGAAGAAGTGAAAAAAAGTTGTGCTACTATTCTATCTGAAATGAATGTCTTTGTCCGGGATTATCTAAATGTTGGTAGATTTATCAAATGCAATTACTTTCAGTAAGCTGTTCCAGAATACAGCCCTATGCAATAAATCGTATTTAGAGGCAATATCTACAAACGTAACAGCTGGCTTCTATTTGTTCTCTATCTCCATATTTCCTCACTCTTTTTTTATTTTACAAACAATTTATATAGTCACCCATCAAACCGTCAAAAATCAATTACACCCATCAATTCTGTATAAAGTTCATTACTGGTTTGTTGTTATTCGTCTAGTTTCACTTGTCTATTGTAAGGCTGTAAAGTTTCATGAGTTCTTAGCTTCATAATAAGAAAGGTGATTTCACATTTGTTCACCCATCGTTTGCTATTGTAGTATTAGTATTTCAACCGGTAATAAATGGGTTTTGTTCTCAACACTTTTTTATGTTATTTCTGTTTTAGTATAGAAACCGCTCGTCAGGAAGTCATTGCTCGTTTGCCAAATCTTAAAATGTTAGACCGTGTTGAGATTACTCCTGAAGAGCGCCGCGGATCTGAATTGGACTACTTAAAACGTTACGGAGCTAGCTGGCTAAACTGTTGTAAAAGTGATCAAAATAGTAAGCAAAATAACGATGTTAAACTTTTGGAGGAATTCTACAAATTGCATCCTGTTTTCGCCAGACTTTGTGATAAACATGGAGCTCCTGAAATTGGAGAAACCAAGGTAGCATGTTATTATTTTTGACTTGTTCCCAGGTTGTTTTCTCTATGTGACAAAATAACTAAGTTGACCGCACAAAAATTAAATGTGGGGGATAAATAAGATGAACTAGGCTAACTAGTTCAAAGATCATCGTCGTCCAAAATAAGGGGAGATCAATGAAATATAGGATAGCTTAGAAGCTTCAATAAACAACCAAACCGTTTAATTGTTCTGAGGTGTTTATGATAGTATCGAAATTGTATTTAGTGCCGAATTAAGTTGCAAGAAAATATGTTATTTCGCTTAGAATAAGGATGTAAATTCAAGGACGTATGCAACTTTTATTCTTAAGTAATAATTCAGCTGTTTAAAATAACTCAATGGTGAATTACTGTCGATGTGTTTAAATTTAAAAGTTCTTCACTTCCCAGAGTAATGTATTGTTGTGGGAATTGTAAATCTTTTGCTTAAATATAAACTAAAGATCTAACACTGTTTAGTTATTTGATTACAGCATTGGTTTCAGAAGTTTCCGTTTGACTATGCGCATAATCAGTTTTCATTTTAAGCTACGTTACACACCTTATCTACTGAAATAACTTACCGATGATTGCATCACAAGACGTTTTCTATTAGAATATTTTAGCAACTATATGTTTTGTTTTTAATTTCCTTCCAAATCTCTTAGATATTTTTTCACTCAATGGGTACTTGAACCCCGCTTCACCTACTGAAAGCCTAAAGTAGATTCCAGGAACAACTAAGGTCACACTTCGGTAGTTCTAAAAACGAGGCTGACCTAGATGTTTCTTGGAAAGATATACAAACAGCAATGACATCTATTAGTGATTTGAACCATAAGGTTACAAAACACCAGTTGATTTATTGTAAGTCTGGTCACAGTCACTGATCGTCCTAATATATAAGAAAGGATCAAAATCATCCTGTAATAACCATAGAGAGATTAGTTTGACCAATATAGCATCTAAAATGCTGGCCTCAATAAGTATCGGACGCCTAACTAAGACTCGTGAACTGTAAACACGAGAAAACCAGGCTAGCTTCAGACCTGGTCGTGACTGCATCGACCACATATTCATCATTCGCCAGGTTCTAGAACACAGGCATGCTTATCGGCGTCCGACAATGGTGGTCTTTCTTGATTTAAAAGCAGCATTTGACTCGTTAGACCAAGAGGTTCTGTAGCAGTGTCTGTCATTGAAAAGTGCACCACAGAAATACGTAAACATTATGAAGGCTCTTTACTCGAACACTACTAATCGAGTCAGAGCTTATGGCGAACTGTCATCTGATTTTGCAACCTCAAGTGGTGTCCGTCAAGGCTGTCCACTTTCTCCATTTTTGTTTAACTTCACCATAGACATGCTGATGGAAATAACGCTGGTCTACTGAATTTTCGGGCATTGATCTCCTATCAGGGGGTCCACTTATCGACTTAGAATACTCAGATGAAATCTCAGCATGGGTTCAAATGCGCATTTGGCTTTTGCCAACTTATGTCACGTGTGGCGAAGGCGATATATCCGTCTATCAATAAAAGGACGAGTATACTGCGCGGCAGTTCGTTCTTTTCTACATTACGGCTGCGAAATGTGACCATTAAGAATAGAAGATACTCGTGAGGTACTAGTTGGGGGCGGCCAAATCGAAACGTGGCATCAGTCCATAAAATCACTAAATTCTAGTCTGAGTCATGATGGTAGATGCAGACTACTTGGTTGGGGTCCGCGTGACTATCGTAACCAATGGTTGGAGACTGTGAGTGACATGGCTCAGAATCGATCACAATGGCGTTGGTGTATACACTCTTTATCTTCCTTTAAACCGTGAGATTAAAATCGCTTTATACGTTTCTTTCTACGAAGTAATTCTTTCTTCCTGTACTGTACTCCTTATACACAATCTTTCTTTTATATATTATAACCATTGAATTAACTACTTCTATGAATTTGTTGTTCACCTTGTTGTGCTAATGAGGTGTGGCAACTTGGACCGATTCACATAGGTGCCTGGTTCTACGTTGTAGCTGACTGAATGACCGTTTCACTTACTTCGGTTTGATTAATAGGATAGTATCATTAGCACTAAAAATATTCTGCATTGTTTTCTTTGTATTATTTAATCTTGTGTTAATTTAATTTGTTTTGTCGTTGACTCTGAAGAAGCAGCTTACATTGTCACGAACCGTCGGAAATACAATATCTCTACTCGTTGGGCCACAACAACGAAAAAAATTGTTAAGTTTCTACCCAATGCTCACTTTATTTCAAACTATCAAGTCCAACCTTGACGTTGATACATACATCAATGTCTCTGTACCTTTCTCTAGTTTCTATTGTTATCAGCCTTCAGACAATCTAAATTAATCTATTTTTATTATGATTTCCTGATTAAAGTTCTTTTTATTGCTACATCAGTATTTCCCAGGTTGGTTGTGTAGAGAAAATTGTCAATATTCCTGCATTATTGCACACAATAAACACTGTATAATTGTAATTTATTATAAACGTGTCCTTATTTCTCTATGGGTTTGAACTGTGTCAAAGTAACTGAGCTGGAACACTTTCAATGACAGAGATCACTCATGAAAAAGTATGAACCAACCACTTGATTCATCTGTAATTGTTGTCCAAGTGTATCTACCTGAATCTAATTGTTAGTCTGATTATAGATATCAACGTCTGAGAGCAATATTAAGATCATAAATAAGCAGTAAGATTTGATCGCTTTATTTTTTGTAAAATCTCTGTTATCTTTGTTGTTTACATATCTATTTATCTAATTTTTAGCCAGTTAACCGCTCAATTAAAGCTGGTCTTCTATCTCTTATCTTTATATTACAACATAACGAGAACAGTGGCGCAACAAACAAGCCTAGCAGTCGATCATCATCGCCAATGGATAAAAACGATCGAATTCAAAAACAAATACCTAGTCAAATGACTATTAACCATTTACGTATGATGATTAGACGATTGTTTTGTTTATCACCAAAAACACTGTTTGAATTATATGCACAAAGTGGAAGGCATCGTGGTTTTGTTAACACTGAAATACCGTTGGATGTAGATACACGTGAAATAGGATTTTATAATTTAGAAAATGACGATTATATTTTTATACGAATATGACAATAGTGTTCTAGTCTTTCCTTCCTTGTATTTACTACTTGGTTATCTCTAGTATTTATCTATGTTGTATAATATATATCTTGATATTCTTAAAAATCAAGCTTGTATTTAATTATTTCCTATCCACTTACACTTTTATGAGTTCTGTTGTGTACATGACACATTGTTCCATCAACCAAGAAAGTGTAATTATGCGTAAACTTGAGATATTTTCTTTAAATTGACTGCTTGAGGCTACCAATTTTATCAGTTTGCTTTAAGCTTAGACTCGAATAATGTTGTTCAAGTAAACAGCCTTCATAAGGTTTATGTATTTTTGTGATACACCTTTCACTAAAAAGCGCTATCAAAAGAATTTCCAGACGTTCTTAATCATCCCTCTGTTTCAGAGCACAGTCTAACATAATCAATTGACGTATATCTGCTCGTCCATTTTTGAAATCAGTTTGATTTTCCCGAGTTTGCTGTTCAGGAACTTTATTTGAGATTTTGGTGATTTCAGACATTACTTTATTCAACTTGATTGTTCTGGCTACCGCGAGAGAATATCTTTCCTCTCTCTTAGATTGGGATCGGTCAAATGGGACTAGGCGCAGGTGTCAGATTCTAACTAACTTCTAAAACTAAACAGCCATTCTTAAATACCTCGAGTTAACGTATAAGATCTTTTCCGCTCTTCACTTCTAGTTAGCTTTTGCCTCTTTAAGTTTACTAATAGTCGGAGGCTTATATATATTGTCTGTTTGCTCTACTAAAAATTACATTATATGACAAGTATTGCTACCAATCTCGAACCTAATTCTGCTGTGTTTCTCAACACTTGTTTAAATATGTATTAACATAATTGAGCAGCTAACTCGCACAGTACTTTATATTTTAAGTATGTTGTATAGTCTAATTGTTAGTTTACCTGACTGTAAATTTATATATTTAGGCAAGACCGGAAACAGTAATGTTCCAAACTAATTTCTCTCACTTGAAGTTGCTTGTTACTTAATGTTGTATGCATTATTTCTTTTATTCATGGATGTCACCTCTGATGCATATATTTATTCACTGCAAAATCTAACACTAATTTTCAAACGTCAGTTCATCTTAATCAATAATTGGTGAGACTATAGTTTATGGACGACCTTTGAGCGACGCCAAAGTGACCTTGAGAGTGTCTACCTACTTACTAGGGCTAAATAAGGGTTATAAAGCTGTTTGAAGAATAAGAATTATGATTCACAGTTGAGGGTTAGGAATTAAATTTAGGGTTTTCTTCACGAACTGACATCAGCTTTAATGCCAAGACTATTTAGCCAAATCAGTGAATGCGTTTCGCGCCAAAATCTAAGACCTGTTATCGTAAATCTGATTGGTTCGTCCATAGATCATAGTCTCATTAATTAAAGAGTTTACAAACTAATGCATCTAATAGTTTTATTTACATGACAAATGGTTCAAATCCTTACCTCTTTGTTTTAGTAATATATTCGTTCAATAATCTTAAAAATATCGTCAAACTAAGTGTTCATCAGTTGTGTCTTAAATGTAATCACTTTTCACAACAAATAATTTTATTAAAACACGAATTTCAGCGAAGGGATCTCTTTTCAACGAATTTCGTGTTTTAATTTTAATGTTTAAATGGGAATTATCTGTCAAATAATTTTATTTAATGTATCAAATTATTAGTTAGTTCTGTTCAGCTCCATATTAACTTTATTAAAGCAATCTACTTGTGAATTGTGTATCATCAAAACTTACCATATAGGTTTTTTTGTTCATATTTGATTTCATCTTCGTAGGTTTAGTAGCATATTGTTAGTCTTTTCATTCCGTTGATTATAATCAGGGAGACATGCAAGATGACTCGTGCACCATTCAAACTGGCTGTCTTCAACGTTCGCACACTTATGCAGGTCGGACAACAGATAGGTCTGGCTATGTATTTGAAAAGTCTTAATATCGACGTTTGTTGTCTATCCGAGACCCGTATTCAGGACTCTGGCGAAGTACTACAAATTCGCTCTCCATCTGTCGCTTCGAAAAGCTTGTTTTACATGCTTCTAGCCGGGGACTTTGTGGCATCTTCGTCTGGTCTTGCTGGCGTTGGTGTCGCACTAAGCGCTAGAGCTGAGGCAGCACTAATCGATTGAATCCCCCTTAATAGTCGGTTATGTGCTGTTAGATTAGAAAGTTCCATCAAAGTGAGAAGAAATCGGCGTGAGAAACGATGTCTTTTCGTCATCTCCGCCTATGCCCCGACAGATTGCAGCCCAGATGCGATCAAGGATGAATTCTACCACCAGTTAACTGTTCTCCAGAAAGTGCGTTCGATAGATATTATAGTATTAGCCGGAGACTTGAATGCTCAGGCCGGCCTCTAGGCACAGAAGAGAGTCGTTTAGGTGGCCGATGGAGACTTGTTGGTCCCAGGACGGATAACGGGGACCGTCTACTGCAACTATTCACGGACCACAACCAGTTTCTGGCTAGCAATAAGTTTCGGCACAGTCATCGCCGATGTGCCACCTGGCGTCCTCCATCTGCATCTCAAGCCTGGACTCAGATTGATCACATCGCGATCAGCTACCGCTGGCGTGGTTGTGTACAAGACTTCCGCTCCTTTTGGAGTACCTATCTGGACTCTGGTCATGCCCTACCCTGCGTCAATCTTACCTTACTTTTCAGTGACCAGCGAAGTGACCGCCGCCAACTGACTGATGTTAGCAAGTTGGTTGCAAATAAGTATCGAACCGAGCTAGCTGCCATTCCACCGAGAAGTATAGATGAGCATTGGTTGTAACTGCATGACGTCATGAAAATGGCGAGTAAAGCCGCTTGCAGCTTCGAGGAACATCCCGCTTATAAGCACTGGGTTTCTGCAGGTTCCTTACAACTCATTAAAACCTGTCGGTCTACTCCGGGTGACCGTGAGTTTGACCACAAACGACTGTTTAGTAATGAAATTGACCGAAGTTTGCGTAAGGACCGAGAAGCCTGGTGGTTGGAGCTGGAAGAAGCAGCTGCATCTGGTAACTGCCGGAAGCTCTTCCAACTCATCCGAGCCACTGGCAGCAAAAAGTCTGGTGTGAGCGAAACAGTCTGTGAGGATGACGGGATGCCAATCACTAAAATCCATTGACGTCTTGGACGATGGGCAGAATTATTCGAAGAGCAGTTCAACCGGCCTGCTGCTCCGGTAACATCGGTCAGACTGTCCTGCCCTCCATGGTTGGTGACAACTGATCCACCAAATGAGGCGGAAGTCCTCAAGAAACTCCAACTCTTGAGACTCTACAAATCACCAGGCCCACATGACTTGCCTCCGGCCCTTTTTAAAGATGGTGGTGACTTTCTGACTAAGGAACTGACAACGTTGTTTACAAAGGTGTGAGAGCTAGAGAGCGTACCAACGTCATGGAATGAGTTGATAGTTGTCCCTATCTTTAAAAAGGGTTCACGTCGTTCCTGTAACAACTATCGGGGGATAAGTTTACTCCCGATCGCGTCCAAGTTATTGGCTTCTGTCATACTTCGTAGGTTGTTCAAAACCCGAGAAATTTTGACTCTCGAAGAACAGGCTGGGTTTCGTTCTGGTCGAGGATGTATTGATCATATCTTCACCCTCCGCCAAATGTTAGAACACTGCCATGCTTATCAAAGGCCAACAATCGTAGTGTTTCTTGACACTAGGGCCGCCTTCGATTTGTTGAATAGGACTGTTCTCTGGGGTCGTCTATTGAAGAAGGGTGTGCCTGGGAAGTTTATTAACATCTTAAAGGCCCTATATATAGACACTTCAGTCAGTTTGAGGGCATGCAACCACCTCTCTCCATCGTTCCGTTCAAGCAGTAGGGGCAGGCAGGGTTGTCAAATCTCACCATTCTTCAACTTTGCTATTGATGATTTTCTGGAAACAGCTCTGATGGATGTAGGTAGTGGTAGTGTGGATCTGTTGCCTGACGAAAAACTTCAATTTTGAGTAGGTGAATGATATTGTCTTACTGTGCGATGATACCTTAGCCATGTAATCCATACTTAATCACTTGGCAGTCAGTGTCCGTAGGTATGGCATGTGCTTCGTACCTTCTAAGTACAAAGTACTTCTACAAGACTGGCAGAATTCTAATCCTGAACTCACTCTGGATGGTGAGCAGATAGAAGTAGTCGAGAAGTTCGTGTATCTGGGTAGCTGCATAAGTGCTGGTGGGGGTGTTAGTGATGAGATTAATGCACGTATAGTGAAAGCCAGAGCGGCTTATGCCAATCTGGGCCATCTTTGGCGCTTTCGTGATGTCAGTCTGGCTGTAAAAGGTCGGATCTACAACGCGTCAGTGAGAGCAGTTCTGCTCTATGTTTATGAAACCTGGTCTCTCTGAGTTGAAAATGTTAGACGACTCTGTGTTAGATCATCGTTTTCTCAGAAAGATTACTGACATCAAGTGGCAACACCATATTAGTAATGCAGAGGTCCGGCATCGTGTGTTCAGGCACAGTGACGATAATTCAATTGGTATCACTATCTTGAAACATCAACTTCGGTGGCTTGGACATGTCCTACGAATGTCACCTCAGAGAATCCCACGTCTTGTATTAATTACCTGACGCTGGGACTGGTTGGAAGAAGCGGAGAGGTGGTCAGTGTATGACATGGTGTCGTGGCATGAAAGAAAGCTGCAAAGGACTGGCTTGTGTTGGTCCTTCACGACTCCCTGGTTGGGGTCCGAGAGATGGTGCTACACAGTGGCTAGAGACGTTATCAGATATGGCTCAGAATAGAAGCCAGTGGCGATCGTGCTGTATCCTTCTTTTACTTCATAAAAAAATGGTTGTGTCTTCCTTAACTGAAAGATTTCTTCTGATTGTACCTTTCCGTTTCCCCTATTATTACTATTATTATTATTACACCACCTTACACTAATCTGTTCGTTATTGTTCTTTTTTTCTCTTCGAATTCTCATTGTTTGGTGTGGCGCATATATATTTGGTGCCCTCTTGTACCAGTATTTATGTGTTCAAATAAATAAGTACCATTATTCATTCCTTACTTCTCCGGGGATTCATTTCGAAACAGTAACTGAAATTTCATAATTTGTTCATTCTCTGATTAGGCGTGATAGTTTTCTCTGTTTTACCCGGATTAGTTCTAAACACTATAGCATCTTCCCCAAGAACCAAGTCATTCATCACATATCAGTTGGTGACTAAATTAATAGTTTTAATAAATGAATAATATCGCTAGTCATTAAGTGAAGTCACTTTAATAATTATTGAAAGCCAAACAACATCCAACCGCAACCTTTCTACTGAGGTCTTTGTCAATCTTTACTAATTGCGATTCACTATACGGGATACAAAAAGGTACAATCAGCGACATCATGGTGGCCGGCAATATGCATTGAAACGAATGAACATTAATCAAATGTGGATTACCGAACTCCTAACATCTAACTGGTCATCATTCAAAATTTATCGTCACAATCGATCAAGGTATAAGAAAAGGAAACTTGTTGAAATACTTTATG